CTTGAAATTATGAAGCTCAATCTAGTGATTTGGTCCTGATTCCAGCAAGTCGTCGATAAATGATTAAGTACCGAACTAAAAATCAAATAATGTGTGAAAATCATGAAAGTTTCATTCAATGAGACGTAACAGTTCTCACACCAGGCTATCACCACTAAATATAAAAATTATATTCGCAACGTCCGTGTAATAAGGCTATATCTGCAGAACAGTGGCGTAGCGTCGATTTCTACCGCTCCGGGCGAACCTTAAATTTGCTGCCCCCCTAATTTCCCAATTACAAAAGTAGTTCGTTGGGACAGGTTCGGCTCGATTGGGTTTATTATGTTCGGGTGCTGTCATCATCTTTGTGTTGTTCAGGATATCGTTTTCTCAAATAGAGGAATTTATTTTCTAATAAAAAAAAAATGACTTGTTAGGTTCGGCCGCACTCGACGCCCCATTGCTGTGCCGCCCCGGGCCATGGCCTACTCTGCAGCCCCACGCTACGCCTACGCCACTGCTGTAGAATAAGTTTAGAAATTCGAGAAACGAAATTAGTCGACAACTTTTGTTTCATGTATTTCGTATTATTTTTATGACTTTCATGTGATAAGAGTATTTTTGACGATCACATGTTGTTTTATTATACCTAGGCTAAATATCATAATGACTTTTTTCTGTTCATTTTTCACATCTAAATGGCGTATATTTGTACTTTCAAACAAACAAACCAACGAAAAAACATGTCGTTTCATTTACAATATGTAACAGTAAAGAAGTAAAGAACTCTATGTGCGCACTGTTAATATAAAAAGAACAGAGAATAGTACGTACATCCCGTGAAAGATTTTTATAACTTATGTATAAGGTTACAGTCTTTTACAGACATTTGAACAATTTCGTACTTGCCGAAAATATATTTAAAAATAAAAGCCTCAAAATAATTTCATATTTTAGAGTAAGGACTGTTTTGTCCAGAACTAGCTCACTAAAAGTGTGTCTCGTTTTGAGTTGAGTGGATGTCTTTTAATTGTTTCTTACAATATTCCAACGACGGTGTCTAACCTTGAATTTAACGTATTTTAAGTTATTACACTATCATGATAGCAATGCGATTATTCTAGTTTTATATTATATATTTGCTTTTTCAAACAAACCAACGTTTCGGGCCCTTTACACATCCAATTGTCACGGTGGATACTGACTGTTATTAAAGTTTTTTTATATGAGGGGATACTGTTTACAAACGTGGGTTATTACTAAATACTGTAATCACGGGACACATTGTCCCTGTGGTCTGAAAGCTTAAAAGAAGTTTTCTGCTTGTACAAATGTACTTTTGCTGTATGAAAGAAACGTTGTGTAACAATAGCCAATTACGAAATGCTAGTTATTGCCTATGTAATAGTAAAATGACTCAGCTGCAGTAAGAAGACCAAATCTGCATGCAATGGTGTTATCTAACTATAATAACGATCGCCGGGGCCTTAGTGTTAGCCACAATGCGTGTGCCTTACCTAGAACCTTACGTTACTTTATTGTTTGAGGGAACAATTGCCTTTTGTACGAGTGGGGTATCGGCCATTATCAGTAGACGCGTTAAGTAACGTCGAAGTCTCGGGTTCGACTATTTAGCATGAGCAGCAGAAGACACCATTACTGCTTTTTATACGTCTTTGTTTAGTTCCCGAAGGAAATTGTTTTATATTGGATAATATGTATGTGTGTACCAAGTGATCGATCCCGATAATTGTAATCTACTCACATTCTTGTTATCACAAAGCTGATTTCTTAACCCATTTCTAGGTTTTCTTTTCACCAAGTTCAGTAGGTGAATTAAATAATTTACCATAAATCACTAAACAATTCTTGTTTATAGTAGATACAAAGATCCTTACTAATTCTTACAATCTTAAAAATGAGAATTTTGTGTTGTGAAGGGGAAAATTATCTGATTTATTTTAGTCCGTAACCCGGTGTTTAATAATGGCCTCTAGCTGTTTTGTTCAACAAATACCTTCAGGTTGCTAATTGAACAGATATTGAGTTTCATGCCTTAGGCAAGAGGGTAACGATAAATGTTTTTAAGGGTGCTATGTATCACTTTGGTAGTTCTCTATACGGGTAACAAGCCTTGTTGAATCAGGTTACGTAATATCGTCATTAAAAGTCAAAAGATATTAATTTTTCCCTTTTTATATTAAAAATTAGTGGCTATTGGAAAGTGTTACTATCCATATAATGCTATTTAAATAGTTTCCTATATGTTTATTAGAAGTGTCGTTTAACAAATTTATATTAATTACAACCCAGACATCTACTTTACTTTAAGTTTTGAGTAATACATACATTCTTCAAAGATTAATGCTCTATTTACTTTACAGTATTCCAGCTCACAATCTGTAGATATATATTCGCCGGTATATGCCTGTACATTCAGTGCTCAGTTATTCAACGGCATGGGTAATTCGCACTGCTCCCGAACTAACGTTTCACAATTGTTATTTGTTATTAATTTCACGAACGATACGCCGGCTTTTAATGTTTTATAAATACGACGCATTGTTCTATAAGCGACACAATACAATGCCTTGCGGTGTTCGCAGCTCCGCTCGAATCCGATATTACCACTACATGCGCGCGCCGGCTGTCAAGACGCATTCTTACCCGCGTCAATGTGAAAATGCACCTGGGTTTCACACGGTCAATATATTGTGAACATCACACGTCATATTTGGGCAATTATTTAGTACATGCCTTACTGGCACAGAGTTTGGAACATCGGCCCCTATCGTTTTATATAAATATTTCTAAGCCTTCAAGTCTGCAACTTCAAAATTCAAAACATGAGCTTGCTCTCTCTTACAAAGTACCCCACAAAACTTACTGAATTACCGACGCCACTGGAATCGATGAAGTTTATTATGCAGAAGCCGTTGGTGATTGGCGATGAGCGCCATATTTTTTATATTTCCTGCATTATACCCATCTTAGCGGAACACTTGATGCTGGCGAAACAAGGCGCAGCCAATAATTAAAAGGAAGAAGTAGGAGATGTCGAAGATGAAATAGGGTTCTGATATTCGGAGAAGCTACTGGATCTAGTGGCTTCTTCACCGGAAATACTCTTTTACCTTGATATTCCGAAAAACGGACATTGCATTATGAACGTCAAACGTTATATGGTCAATTATTTGGTACCCACATGCTTTAAAGGGACAGAATTTGCAACAGCAATGATGAAATAGGGTTCTGATGATATGAGAAGCCACTGAATTTCTTTATCGGAAATCTTTTTTACTTAGCTAGTCTGGATACAGGACTTTGTGTCTGGATGAAACTGCTACGATTAAGCTAGTTAGAACAACAAATGATTCGTAGTTAGGGTCTTTTTCGACTCCTTATTCACTGCTACATAAGTTATGTACATAGTTAAGAGATTAGAATTCAGAGTATAATCTCGGCAATATTGGTGTTGAACACTTACTACTTTTAGGTAGTTTGTCATTAAACGATAGATATCTTACATTTCAGTTATGAAAGCAGAAAAAGGTGGATTGACCGCCACTCACTTTCAGTATTTAGCATAATGAATTTCACATTGAAAAGCGTGTTTTGTGAATGTTTTTGAGAATGGAACGAATTATAATACATTCTTAATGAGGTGCCAAAGAAAAACATGAACCACTATGAACACCAGTTTCTTTTACTAATTGAACTTAAAGTGATTCAGGCAAAAAATCTATTAGTGTCAATATTTAAATTAGATTAGAACATAATATATGTACATGTAACAGACTGTAGGTAGGTATTTACAAAACTGGAACTGATTTAGTTACGTACCTACCAATTCCTATAGCTCTGACTAATTCCGAGAAACCCGTATTGGGAGGCACGTACGCGTAAGATTGGCTAAATATCGCACGTTAACCAATATAACGTAATAATAATTCCTATAGACAAACTAAAACATTGCTCGACTTAGCTTTTGAGCGATAAAAGTACTAATATTACTAAGAGAAAATGAAGAAATTTTGCTTGATCGAGTAGCTGAATTGTCGTCGTGGGCACATAGTTGTCAATGATACCTATTTGGTTCTGTTTTTTTTAAAATAAAAATTGGAAAACATTGATACGGCAAGTCTACCCGCTGGATAGCCGCCTCTTTTATCACTATAAACCTATATATGTAACCTAACTAAACAGGCGTCGTTTTTCCTTAACTTTCTTCGGAAATACATGATCAATCTAATTCAGGCACAGGTTTCTGCAAAGATTTGTTACCTGTATTAATAATGCATACATAATTATAATGTCAAATTTTGGGGAGAAAATAAAGATTTATTATGATTTTACTGTACCTAGTACATAAGTACATAAGTTATGTTATTTTGACAATATTTGTTTAAATTTGATTTTACCGCTTGTTTTTTGCTTGTGAACGAGTAAAAGGAATTTGAAACAAATCTAATGTAGTTTGGTGTAAAGATTGGCGTCAGATCACTTACAATTACCTATACAGATTCATTTTTTGCATTGACCGTTATCTGTCTGTGTTGTAATCCGATCGTAACGCCAGTGAAAAATGATCACGCAAGTCAATTTACAGTCGCTAGCCAGCAATAAGGTCTTCCAAAGTCTTTAGTTGATCACAGTTCGGTGAGAAATACCTTCTAGTTTCTCATAGGTAGTCGCCATCTTAGGTCCAGGATTTGATCTCCGACCGGGTCAATATAGATAATAACTTTTCTATTATTTCTCCGGTTAGAGTGTTTGTGATACCGTCGCTGTTTCAGATTTCCATAACAAAATATGCTTTAGTTACTTACTTTGGGGTCAGAGCAATATTTTTATAAAATGTTTACTTTTTATCAAATGTTTTTTTTTTCATTAAGCCGAAGAGCTACTTAGTATTGAAGTCGGTTATTTTTGGTTAAGAATTATTATAATTATTACAGATTGTTTATATAGGTACATTTTTGTTGAGATATTTATGTTTATGAGATGGTGTGTTGTAGGTTCGTCGCCTTACGATAGTCGGTTATGCCTTCATGAGAACAGCGGCGCAGACGACACCCCCAACTCGCAAAGCGCTAAAGGCAACGAAGAACTATCCAGAGTCTATCAAACTCTGACTCTGCCTGCCTTGTCCAGGGAGGATACAAGTTCCAACAGGTTTGTTCATTCACTGGTTTTGACTTAGTTGTGTCTGCATTCTGATTGTACTAAGCGTATTACATTTACAGCAATGATACAAAAAGTAAAACGAAGAATACGACTCCTAGCAGTCCCGGGAATTCTTCAGAAATGAAACCACAATCTACTACGCCAACTTCACAGGGTCTAACCAAACCGCCATACTCCTACGTCGCTCTCATAACCATGGCTATTCAAAACAGTCAAACCAAAAGAGCGACACTCAGTGAAATCTACGCTTACATCACTAAGGAATTTCCTTTCTATGAGAAAAACAAAAAGGGCTGGCAAAATTCCATAAGGCACAATTTAAGTCTCAACGAATGTTTTATAAAAGTACCTAGAGAAGGCGGAGGGGATAGAAAAGGAAACTATTGGACTCTCGGTGAGTTTAGTATAAAAATAAGCTTGTGAGTACATAGTTGCAACACAATATCTATCGCCAGATGAATTTAAACTTAGCCATGCGAAGTAATCTGCTATGCGCGCACTTCATTGCTCATTTCACTATAGAATTTAATGCGAATTGCTAGCGAAATGATGTCACTTGTCTGTTTTCGATTGTGTGAGTACAGGTTGTTGTTTTAGATCCACAATGCGGGGACATGTTTGAAAACGGGAACTTCCGGCGGCGGCGCAGGATGAAAAGGCCTTTTCGTACCACGCCGTACTCGAAAACTCTGTTTGGCGACGGGTACCACGTGGCGCACGTCGCTCAGCACGTCCCACCACATATGCAGCCTCTTCCACTTGGGGCTCGGAACTATTTTGGATCTGGGTCAGCGTATCCACCGTCATATCCTAGATACGACACGTAAGTTGAACTTAATAAAAATAACTCATAATACTGCACGGTTAACAAGTTACGCTACTTCTTATCGTTTTAATGCAAGGATTTATTTTAAAATAAACAGTTTACACTTTTTTAACACAATATAGTAGGTATTTAAATAATGCTAAATTAATTGTCGGCGATACGTCTTATTACAAATTAATGACAATAAATATTTACGTTTCTTGTTCATGTGTTTACAAAACAAGTGCTAATGAATATTGATATGATCGCTTCTCACAGTTACTTTCAGTTTTCGTTGTATTTTCTCCTTACCGATAGATATGTCCTATTAAAAGTAGATTTGGCAGTTTATATGGTAACATGAAATTGTCGACATTCTTTTTAATGTGTTATCTTCAGTCAGAGTGTACGCAGAGATTAGATAATTCAGATCATAAAATATTTTAGAACTTCTGATATTGGAGTGTTATTGTTTACCATGACCTTGTCGAGTTACAAATCGGACTACCTACCGCCGAAGGTGTCAGTGACATTACCTACGGCGTTGATAAAATGCTGCGGCGTTTAGTAAACAATTGCACCAAACGATTCGCACCACTATTATTCTTATCAACTGAAACTTAACACTATGCAAAGTCTTTCACGTTTTTTCGTTGTATGTCGCTTTATATTTTCATTTCCTTGTCGAAATCGTGCTGGCAGATAAAGCAGTAATTACAGAGCGAGTTGTTGGTAACAGAAAGTTCTAAAAATAGCTCGAATATGAAGTATATTTGGAAGGTAATATGACCACAGTTCTAGTATGCCATTGGACGGCAGGTGAGATGGGCGGAGCCTAAACGAGTATCTTTTTGCCTCCCACATCGTTCTTGTTTCATAACATAACATACGACTAAGACCAGTATCTTAAATTTAACGACTAAAAACGTGTTAAATAGAAACGGATAAATAACACGTAAACTGGTACGGTTTTGAAATGAATCCCTATTTAAAAATAACTTGATATTCAAAGTGTGTGTTTTATATAAAACTACATTAAAAACCAGCCTCAAAATTTCATGGAATTAAATCTGTTTCTCAAGTTTTCTTGAAATAGGTTACTGGAAAGTTTGTGAAATCGGACTCATCCCTAGCCCCTATTTTGCCACCCTTAGAGGTGGAATATTTTCTTCAAATTGAAATGGGACCAATCCTGAAGTAGGTACCCTCTTTTGATTCACAAATACCGGAGTAATCGCGGAGTAAACACAAAAAAATTCAGTCGAATTGAGAATAAATGGGCCATTACCTTATTGATCCAACATCATGAGTTGTCAGTGCGTATAAGTCCTGGCATTCGCATTAAATATTTTGATACGATATTTGCAAGTGTGTTTTATGTACAATCAATATTGTGACTATCTCCTCCATTCAAACAATTTCGGTGGCCTAGCAGGCTGCGTTGCGGGCGCTGAGTGATGAGGTCCTGGTTTCGATTCCCGGTAAGATCAATTTGGAAAATTTACATTTCTAAATTTGCTCTGGCCTAGGTCTAGATATTCTAGGCCGTGCTCCGGAGTCCGTTGCTATGGTACTTATAGTTTAGGAAAATCCCTAGTTTGAGACCAAGTGATTTCTCTGAACGTCTGGCACATTGTTATTATTTACGTCAGATTTGATAACCGTAAGTTCATTTTGACGCTCTTTCAGTCCTTTTTCGGCAAAACGTAATAACCGTTCACTAACAGATTATGATGGTGGCTGACGATCTCCTTTCCAGGACATGGCTGACTCAGTCAACCGGTGGTCTTGGCTACGCGAGTGCCTGTGGGAGTATGGGTCGAAGTCCACCAGGATGTTCACCACACAGCGCTTTACCCCATCAGTCTGCGTCGATCAATCCGTTTACACATCAGTTGCAAGGGCAGGTGAGGATCCAGCATTATTAAATAACACGAAGTGTAATAATTGTCTACAGGTCTCATTGGTCTATGAATGTAATGTTCTTGCGTGCTTTTCTAGTAGGTACATGCTTGGAGTACAGGAGACGCAAATAATTTACTATATTAAGAATTTCGCCAACAATAACAAGCTGTAGCTGCATGGAGTAAATAGACACTCAATGTTATTAATTGACTGTTGCAAGAAGTTCCAATCTATTGAATTCATTGATTAATTATATGTTATCTATAAATATATGGCTTATATTTCAATGCTCCTGTGAAAACCGATGGCGTGTTAGAGGCTAATTTCATTTCTGTAATTAAATTCAGATTAAAATTTTAGTAGCGTATCACAATGCAATAAAACTTCATGCTTGCAAATTGGTGCTATGAATGCTCAATAAATTTTCTGTAACGACAAACTGTTTAACAACTTTCTATGCGCAATTTTATCACTGCATATTTTATTTAAAATGCTTGTGTATGGACCTACACTCATAGACATATTTAGAGGAACGCTAAAAAAGGATCAGTTATGGTAACAAAGCTCATGGAAACCACTGGACACATGCCAGAAGGTTGAATTTAAAAAAGGAATGACTTGAATTGTCTTTTGGTTTCGATTAAATCTAGTACTTTAGGTGGCCGTGAACATTGTTAAAAATAATTAAATTTTCTTTAGTGGTCCTCTAAATATCCATATATGTAGTATATTTATAGCAACAAAAGTAATCTTAGTTTATATCCCACGCATTGAGCATTCCGTATTTAACCGTGCAATTATTATCGCTATATAAAGGTTAGTTGACATTGACACAAACAACATACCTACTCGCAAAGAATGACAACGAAGTGAGTAGCAGGTCTTCGTTTACTCATTGTTATAATTTCTACATAGCCACATTTGTAAATACCCTCCTACATGTCTCGAAAATCATAAAATAGAGAATTAATTTGTTTTCAAGAGCGAATTCCTCAGCCAGGCATTCTGTTATCAGCTGCCCAAAATTCTGCTTGAAGATCTGAGACAGGATACAATTGCTAAAGCAAGTCACAAGTGTATTCCTTGTAACCATCCGGTGACTACACAAACTACTAGCTTGCTCTTCGTGTTTTATGTTAATTATTCGTTTTTGGGTTTTATTGCTATATAAAACTAGGTACATCCACAATTTCATTACTGTGGCCCTTTACACTTGGCTGACCGTTAAAGCCATCCACTTGGAAATCGTTGACTCCCTCGACGCTGTCATAATGAATCTTGTAGATATATTCACTTAGAAATCTACTCGGATAATAGAATCTTCGTTGGCGCTAACATCCAGCTAAGAATACTTCACGAAGAGGCTATCTGCGTCTTCTCCGCTTCAGAGATGATCCGGCTCGAAGGACCAAAAATATTGGGGAGATTTTTGTCGGGAAAAGAAATTATTTCTTCTAGGAACTATTAATATTTTTTAAACAATGGCAATTATAAACTAATAAAAAACGTGAAAAGGAATACAAAATTAAACAATAATAAAAACTATATCAAGAAGTATATGCTGCTGCTGCCCGTGCACAATTATAATAACATGATTACTTTGATTTCACGCTGCAACTGGGATAGTGTGCAGATTATCCAACTCCTCAACTATTTACAGAAAGTATCGTGTTTGAGCCTTATTAAATTGGTTGCGATGAATTGTTAGCATACAGTTAGTGACTTTATTGATTGTGGAGTACAATCAATAAAGTCACTAACTATTTTGTATCTGGCACTTTTCAATTTGCTTGTTTAACGTTATCAAAACTCTTTTTTCCCATCACGTGCGTGCTTCTACTTTTCGCATGTGTAGACCTCTTAACCTAAGTACTTCAAAACTTTGTTGTTATGCACACCTTTATTTAAACTTTTGCGTTGAATTGTACTAACATTTGCTAACGCTTTCGCTGTGTTCGTTGTCGTGTCCTCCTTAGCAGCAATGGAAACACAGATATGTTAAACGAATCATATGATCCCAAAGGTAGCTGCTGTACACTGTTGAAGACTTCCTCTCATCTCTGCCATTTCCATAATCAGATAGCTCTAAGTTACCACAATTGTTATTTTCATTGGAACCTATATGCCAAGTTTTTAAAATCGGTTAACGGAGAACGGGTAAAATTCAATAAACTGTATTCATAGAAGAAGAGCTAGAATATTTACTTCAAATTTAAATGGAACCACTGCTAAGCTACCCGCTTTTCAACAAACGAATTGGTTCACAATTTCCAAAATATCCCGGTAATTGTACAAATACAAGTATACAACTGTCCCACACGATAAGGTAGAAGCTTGATTTCGTTTCGCCCTGTGTCGGCAAATATGTTTAACGAGACATCTAGTCGAGAATGTGGATCTCGCTTAATGAGTTCGATATAATAGGTAAGTAGGAGAACAATTGATTTGAAAAAAAGTCGATGATTCGAATGTCTGTGCTGGAATGTACTAAATTTACTTTCAAAGTTATGTAATTTATGTACGTTTAGTAACAATACTTCTCTCTAGACGATGAGGAGGGTTTACAAAACCCTAAACCCTCCTATTTTGAGGGGTCCCGTAACAAGCACTGGAACTTAGTAATAATTATGAATAACACTTTCAGCAAAGTTGACGCCTTACCACCTTATTGGCTCTTTTTGCGTGTAAGCAACGGCGGTCAGTAGTGATAACCCGCAGCTGACTTGTTCATATTCTTATTAAAAACAAAAATAAAAAAAAAGTATTTTTACTCTGTTAAAAACAACTAGTCTGTGACTGGTTAGGCTTCAACTTTCCTGATAGTACGTACCAGTAATTTCACAAAAATTGGTTGAATATCGTGCTGGTAAAATATTCTGACATTCAATATAAATTTAATAACAGTTTATAGCGACATCTCTAGCCAGGGCTGGTAGCTGCAAAGGTACCTAACTGGGTGACGAAATACGTTCATAGATTTCTCAAAGATGGCGCTGCGGCTAAAAAGTAGTTGAAAACCAAATACAAAGATCCGACTTGTTGTCGGACACATAGAAAAATTCGTGAGATCCGCTGGTTCGTTCCGTGGCTTAGTTGACATTTATTATTTATATTTTTGGCTTAGTTTGCTAGGAGATGTCACTTCGAATCCGGCCGGATCGAAGGAATTTTTCTAAGTGTCCGATCTTTATATTAATAATATAACAAATCAGTGGAGAACTGCACAAAAAATAATTGAATATCACCATATTGGTGAAACATTTTGATATTCAATAAAAATTTAAGTACTGCAACCTTAGGTACACAGTTATCATAACACTCACTTACCTTTCAGTTCTGTTGGTTAGCGAAATCTCATCCTGATTCCTTGACCCATCATTATCTAAAGAAATTATAACGAAAACTGGAACTGGCACTGGCGGCGCTGCCTGTAAACCATCGAGTATATAACCAGAAATAGAGACGAAATAAGGGCCATCCATCCCTGGTTACACACCAGGAAAATGGTCCTTATATCATTTTTAAATATCAACTCTCGTTGGCGCTGAAATCACAAAACGACTGATCTGTGTGTACGTCTCCGTATATTCCAAGAATATTTTGTATTTATTGTAATAAATACAATATCTCTAACTACGGGGTTCCATTCGGTGGTGCGGGTAAAACAACAAAACATCTAATGACAAAACAAACGGAATCGCATTTCATCGGTAATTAAATATGTAATTTTGCAATTTTGGTCCATTATAGCAAAGCTCAAGTTTAACCTATCAATTTGAAGTGAAACAATTGACGACTTCCGTCAATTGTTTCGAATTCAGGCTGGCCAATCGGAGCGCAGTTGTCACCATAATGATATGGCAGAATAGTTTTCAAACAAATTAAATGACATTTCGTCTCTATTTCTGGTTATATACTAGATGCTATAATATAACTCCCTAGTCCGACTTTCGAATCATCTTCATTCGTCACAATAAATTTAATAATTTTACATCAAACTCTCAATGATCAGAGTAACCTACCTACCAAATTTGAAATTTGTTATTGCCGTTTTATTCCCGTTCCTAATTTATAATGAAATAAAAGTACAAATTGATTCAAAACAATAACTATTTTTGTACAATTTTTGTAAAATAAGCATAATTATACAAAATAAATGAAGGGCGATTCCCGTCTCGTTAAAGTGATCTTACTTACACACACACACTTTTCGCCTTCCACCGTCAACCAAAGGTTTTAAATATGACGTCAATGTATCACGTTAGATAAGAACTACTTCAAAATCCAGCAATAGGTTAATTCTCGTTCTTTGTTTTTGCTATACATTCATCATAATGAAAATTTTATCGACCTCGACGTCATTAATTTTGTTCGATGTAAATGTTACTATATGTTAGGTGCCGAAAAACGTATTTGTGGACTTAGTAGCAGTAGAGTTCCTTGTGAAAGAGGTCGTCCAGTGAACTACTGTCACCTTACTTATTTCTGCCGCCAAACAGTAATGTGAGCAGTACCTACTATGTTCCGGGCTTAAAGGGTATAATTATTGGTGAAATTACAGGTACATGGGACTTACAATGTCAAATAAATAATACAATGTCAAGTATAAAGCTTCATTCGCATCATGCGTCTTTTAATTTGGCCGAGTATTACTTATTTACGGGAGTAGGCACCTTGGTCTCGGTCTTGGTCTTGTTTCAAGAGTCTCACAAGTCTTTCAATTACATATTGTCTCTTATCAAACGTTCATATTCTGTTGTTCTTACATAAAGTGACAATGAGGGTTGGTTCAGATTTTAGAACAACATGACATAGTAGGTTTATACCTAGAGTTTAGAGTGCGTTTTGATGTAGGTATAATGAAAGGCAAGCAAACGAAGAAAAATTCACTATATTTTTTAGATCATATTCGTTGATTATAATTTTATGCATAGCGCCTAGCTATGCTGAGATTAGTAAATAATAGGTATTAATTAGCGCATGTCATGGGTATAAGGTATGATCGCCGGTCGATCGGCGATCGTCTGTCGTAAGTCAGTTTTTGATTTTCAGTGTACATGTTATTAAAATTTGTTTCAACTTCACTAAGTAGTGCTATTTGCTTTTTGCTACACTTTTTATCACAGATACATGTGACACATATTTTATGTGAGTAAAATACCACTTTACTTCAGAATACAACCATCGACACAACAGTTTATCGTTATAATATCCAACCAAATTGTTGTTAGAAAAAACCGTGGTTTTCATAGAATGTCTATTAATATCGGTATTGATTTGAAACCAAATGCATCAATTCCCAGCGATCATTTAGTTCGAAGTAGTTGCGAGACGCACGAGTCTCACAGACTCAGTCTAGTTCTAGCAAAATCTTGCATGGTCGTTCTCGATCTTGGTCTTGCTACAATTAGATGGTCTTGGTTTTACAAAAATACACGAACAAGACCGAGATTGATTTTGGGCAACACCAATTTTAGTGTACTAGACACAATAACTCTTATTCATTGTTCTCATTTTTTTAAATTTCTGGCACCCTTTATTTGAGAAGCTTTATATTTTCTTTGAACAGTTATTACTGGCGTACGAATCAAACACGTCCGAAAAAGCTGAGGACACTTAATTTAAACACAATCCTAACCACCCTGTACTACATCCCTCCTCCTCACAACCCTACCTATGATAGGTAAAGTTACACATGTAATCTGCCTTTATTATAGGCTAGCCACACACTTCTCGGAAACAGTTACACTACCAAAAAACAAAACTACCAAGGAGGATAGCCATATAAGATAAGATTACATAAGATAAGCCATAGGGCTTTAATCTGCCAAAAGCCTATCTAAAAGGACAGATAATTAAAATTCAAATATATTTTCTCATTAACTAACTTAATTAACATTAATTAAGCTAAAACTCTAGCTATTTAGGTAATCTAGCTAAACTCTTTAACCATTTATTTCAATCTAAACCCTATTTAACCTAGCTCAATATAATGTTTATTTGAAAGAAAAAACATTACATCTCATTATAAAAAACAACATTTCGAAATAAATAACAATATCCAAATTGTATGCTGTTAAGACAACATTTCAGGCCTGAACGACAACGTTTATGCAATAACGGCGTAATATTTTTATTTCAACTACGCTCTTGACGCATTTGACAACGCTTGCCACTTACGTCAACTTTTTTCTCTGTTTCTGTTATATTTACAGAGTATACATACTCCGACCTGTTCAACGATACGTTATTACAACTTTTTGATACTGGCTTGAAAGAACAATTTTGTTTCCTCGACATGGCATCAGTCACAGAATTGAAAGAAATTTCAACATTGTCATTTAAAGTAATTTTCGACAATGCAGAATTAATAATTGCCTCATTTCCCTTAAGAAATCTTGCCCCAAGATAAAAACTTCAACATCGTCTTGCACTACAAGTAATCTTGATGGATATTTGTTTCCGTTGATTGTCAACGACACTTTGGTGGACGTCTGCACTTTTAATGGCGTTCCGCCCACAGCACGCCATGGAAAATTCGTAGCATCTTCGATTTGTAAACGTAACTTTTCTGCTCAAGATTGAGAGAACACCGATACCGCAGGACCTGTATCCCCCAAAACATCACTTTTTACATCATTAATAAAAAAGGGTTATAAAAGCCCTATCTAATACAAATTCCCTGAATGACCAGCTACGCCTTGATGTCTGATTTATGTTTTGTGTTTAGCGTTGTGACAGCTACTTTTTAATAAGAAACGAGGAATAATTTCATAAATAAAGATTTACTGTGAGCGTTCAATTTAAGATTTGTCTACAACTTTCTTGATGTTCATTTGACAGCAACCTTCTATTATTTATACAATTTTAAATATAAATTAGTACAATCCTAACCAGTCTGTACTACAGTACCATAGAAAACCGAGGTGATAGAAAACTACAACAAAAAAAAAAAGCAATTATGTCCTAGGAGCAACACATCAATCTTCACAGTTTGAATTCAACCCTATAATACCTCGTACGATAAAAACTTTAAAGTCCATGTGTCGTAACATTGTTTTCAAAAACATAAACAGATATATCGTATTTTCATTACAGCTGCAGAGCCCCTTGCAGCCAATGCAGCCCATGTCCATGAATAGTTATAACCCCATTGGGGTCACTGCTTTGGGTAAGTTTAATTTTCGATCAGCAAAATAAACTTTAGTGTAGTAACTTTCTGTCGTGGTCGGTTTCTCATGATTTTTTTAAAACTTTATTAGATTATTTCTACTCACTCAAACTTTTGTTTCGAGCACTGACTTCTGTTATCTTTGTGTTTTCTTTTGCACCAATATTAGTGCTGTTTCAATCACAAGTCTTCTATGCTTTGTCATATTTATTCTTAATTTGAATCTAGTTTCAAATACGACCAATGGTCATATTATATGTAATAGTATCTATAAAATTACAGACGGATCCCCTAGTCCGGGACCAGGGTATGCGCCGTCTTCTGGCGGGTTCTCTCCTAGTCGTCACCATGACATCGTAACGTCGTCTGACACCGCGGTCTCTAGATTCCCTATCTGGTCCGAAGGTATTACAAATTTTTTAAATAAACTTTAACTATATTTCTTTATTTGAAAACTCGAAATAGTACCTACTTAGGTTCCATCGGTCCGTAAGTCAAATCCGACTTAGCAATATTTTTTTTTATTCCGTCAAGTCCTAGGCTAAATTAGTGAACCTCGTAACCTCCATTAATGTCAACTTTTGAGTAAAGAAGTTGTACAAATTATATTTTAAGGCTTTAATTGCCAATATTGCGCTAGAAGAGTAAAAGAAGGGATTACGTTCAGAAACTGAGTTACAAGGTGTTCAAATTTAGCCGACGAAGTGCTAATATAGGTTAACAACCGAATATTTGTATTGGGGTAGATTTTTCTTTTCTGCGAGCACCGCCATCTAATTGCTACGTCAGAATCACAAGAGTTACGCAAGTTTTATGTAGCATTTGTTTCGGTTTTGCCTTTTGGTCAGTGCAATCCGTGCGGGTTTCTAAATGAACCGATAGATGGCGCAACTACCAAAATACGATGTAGGCGCCACCCTAATGTTTACAGAAAGGAAGTTTTCTCAATTCTGTGTAACTTGTCTCCTGGATACAGGTTAGGCGGCGCTAAATGTCACGAATTGTCCTTTCATATTTATACAATTTTAGTTTTTTATAAGACAGCACTTTTATATACAATTTTCTGTGTTGCAACATGTAGAAGAAGACGTCTAGAAGAATATAAGCAATATAACATAGAGGCACAAAGATAAGTGCATTCTATGTACCAACTCTTTTTGTCTTTAGACTAAGGAGAATTTTTGCAGGTGGATCGCCAAGTCCTAGTTCAGGATATGTGCCATCTAGCAGCTTCTCTCCGACGCGGAGGCATGAGGCTGATACATCTTCCGATGCTGCCGGCACACGCTTCTCTTTTTGGCCCGAAGGTGATAAATACATAACTTCTGATGATATACTTAATAATTTTTTTGGTGAAATGTTGATACAAATAAATGTCCGTTTTTCTACAGTTGGCGTGAAAGAGGAAGCTTCGCCTAGCGTTGTATCTAATGGAGCACCGTACTCTAAATGGTTTACGTAGTCACCAAAGCTGGAGGGAAATACAAGACTAAGAATATTAAGTTTTATGCACTTCGTGTGGTATAATACGATTTACAATGGAATTAGAATTGATTGTAATGTAAAAATTGATATAGTGTTCAATGTATGTATAATGTAAGTAGGCGTGTATATTAATTGGTAGGATGTTATTAAAAAGCCTATTGCAATTCAGTAACACATAAACAAAGTGAGGCGCATATAATTTGTGGTTATATTTTTATGGCCGGGTAATATATAGTCAACAGCAACTCAAGTGTAACTTAGAGAATTATCTCACGCGCAAAACATTGAAATATACCTCTTAGAAAAAAAGGAACAACTCTAATGCGAGAAAAAAAGGATGAAACTGTTTATAATGTATTTAATTCAAAATACGTTTCTTTGTATCTTTTTGCTATTAGATGATAAGCATATTTTTACTAGATGGATTATTAAAGGCAATGGCGGAATAAGAGTGTATTTTGACGGCCTGCTTTCCAATAGCACCACAACTGTAGGATAGCTGTTGAAATGCAGCTGGTACGCTACAACGCCTCTGATTCACTGCTAGTTGGCGTTGGTGATGGAGTTGCTTTGTTTTTTGCCAGCATAACACAACTAATTCGGTTAATTCGATACAGCTCGTGTAACTAGCCTCAAAAGGAGAAGCAAGGCTCCATTTACCGCGGACTGGAAGGGAATGAAACGGAATTTTTTGAACTAAATTGTACATAGCATAATGAACTTTGTACGTTATGTAAATTGTACAATGTAACAACTAGATACGATACAATAACTACGGAAATTCCCGAAGCTGCGCGAGAATTCTCTCGAAAACGCGCGACCGGTGTTTTGGTTCGTATCTAGTTTGTATGTTATACAAGTTCATTAAGCTATGGTTATAAAAATTGCCTTCCAAATTTAAGTAAAAGGCGCCTAATGAATGTTTAGAAACATTATTTACATTGATTATTATTCACAAGATCGATTCTTTTCAGTCTCCAATAGCTGCGTTGTTTTGTTTCATATGAAATCTTTTGTCATAATTTTAAGGTCCATTAATTTGATAGCATTCTTATGTTATCTTCCCATAGTCTTCTCGCAATGTCTTCAAGTGATTTTAACGTGAGTGTGTTACTCTTGTTTTGCTATAGACTATGTATTGGTCATTCTGCCGGATGTAGGATCCCACCGCTTAGAAAAAAATACAGCCTGGTGTCTTTGTTAAGATAAAAGCTAACGTCAGTTATAATGAAGCAGGAGTCTTAGGCAGTGATGTTTGTCAATGTTTATCTCTGTGAACTTGGAATTAGAATGTATTGGCTTTTCTTAAGTGCTGTCAATAGTTGGAACCTAACCTTCGGTTGTGAAATTGGGCCCATGTTTTCGAGTGCAACGTTTTTCTGATTTAACTTCGTATGAGGGGTATATACCAGTAGTTCTTTCACCATGTGACTACGTATTTTGGTAACAGTTGTATATACAATGTTAATCTAATTACACTGCATGCAAAGGGTTGGGTCCAGCTACAAACATGAATAACTTTCACCTTGTTGGTACAAATCAGCTGTTAAATGTCCAGAACTACTGGGACAAATCCAGCATGAATATTTGCGTAGTCGTCTTTCAAATATTACATGATCAGATAATTAAAATACACTTACTGACAATAACTTCGAATCGCATGTGAAATATGGCACGACCATAAAATAATACATGTTGTAGAAAACTTAACAAGGCATCGCAGGATTGAAAACACTTGGATTTGTCACGTTTTAAGCTCCGAATACAAGAAACAACTCTGGTAATAACGAAACCAGGTTTCTGAAATTGATATAGATAGGTATGTTGTAAACAATACATTATCAAAAATTTCTTTCTTTAAGCTCAAACTCGAAGTTTACAGTTTAAAAATGACAGGTGTCCCGAATTCATTGCCAGTGAGTGTACAGTGTGCCAATAAGAGTCCTGGGAAACTAACATGGGAATATTTTTATTTAAATAACAAGATAAATGGTGGAAAGTTTTCGTGAATTGTATGTATTTGTGGTTATATAATTTACGTATATAAGCTAAGTGGCACTCAGTGCTTTCTATGTCTTGTTTTTAAGTTTTATTAATCTTATTAACTAAATTCAGTGCCGATCAACTGAACCTATATATTTTTTTTATTTGATGTCTTGCGCAATATTCGCTTGATTATTTACCCTTTGTTTCTTTGTTGATATATTTATCGAAGTGTTTTCCATTTCAATTGTTACATAAGTATTTTACCATACAAATCTATGCAATATCTGTGCCCATATCTGAGCTATGCGTTTGTTTTCGAGCATTTATTTCACTCGGTGACAATGATGATGTTTGTTGATTTCTAAAGAAGTGTGTTATATTAATATTTTAACAAATTATCTATAATTCCATGCGATTTCAAACAGGGTAATGCATTAACACGTCGTATTTTATGTGACAGTGAGTGGTAACATTTGTAGATTGTGGGCGGTTTGGATTGGTTTTGGTTCTAATACGAATTTTTCAAAGGATATTGTTTACAATATTATTGCATAACGAAATTTATTTACTCGGTCATAATATTTCAAATATTTATTGAAGGCCTAGCGGTAAATAAAGCTTTAATTCAAATTGTTTCTATGTCTTAGCAACCACATGACATGAAGATGAAAATTATACACACAATATTATTAGTATAGTGACCGGAAATAGGAGCTTCTTTTTGTCGCTTAAAATAGTGTGAGTGTCGTAAAACGACTGAATAAAGGGAGATTTTCAGATATTTGTTCAATTCCATAAATCGAAACAATAAAATGTCAATAACACTAATCAAGAACCACCGACTTCCTGATGGGTTAGATTCGTTTGTGAAAATTGCAAATTGAGAGTTAATACCTAATTTACGATTTATTTATGGGTCGACAGAGTTACTTTTTCCGTGTCAAGTGTGAAACAATACTTTCACATAATATTCTCACATATTTTATTATTATTATTATTATCATTACTTTGTTATAATTGCAATTATCAAACACGGCACAGTAAATTTTTCGAAATTTAATGTGCGGAATTTAGAATGAAATTTCGTTCAGCTTAGTTTACTGCGTTCGTTCTCCGTGGTTTACACTGGTATGGTGGCAACGGAAATGTTTTGCAATGTACAGTCAGTAGCACATCAAATGTGACACTTTGAATTTGCACCGAAGCGGCTTAGAGTTGGAAGTTAAATCTTAATCTTCTGTCAAACTTGATGTGCTCCTAATACTATATCAATTAAGATTTTTGTTCGTATTAATGTTGAAGGGTTACGACGAAAAATCTAAGTTGATAACTGATTCTTGCCTTCCGGTTAAAGGTTGAGACTTATAAACCAAACTTAAACTAACAACGAGAATCGACTTCATCTAGCAAGCGTGAAGGTTGTCTTTTTTTAATAGTGCAAGTGAAATTTGTAAAAGTCGGACAAAGTTTGAAGTTTTAAAAACAAATTGGCGACTCAGACTTTAAAAAGTTTACTTGATAGTTTTGTTTACTTGATATACACTTGCCTAAGCGACTTTAGAACTGTAGGTTTTAAAAAAAGTCGAAGTTTGTTTTATAAATCTCAGAATAAGATATTTTATGATTTTGGTAATAGCTTTCTGATATGCCTTGCATAACGTGGTGCGGGATTATGGCTTTAATGTTTTTTCTTATGTGCACCCAATAACCAGTGGAATTTGGGCATTTTGTGTAAAATGTAATTATGGAAATAACATTCGCAGCTTATTTAAATATTCTTCCGTCTTGCCGGTTCGGTTTTACATCTACGACCTTAAGCGACCTTACAATGTCTGCGGCTGTAAGAATGCCCTTATTTGTTGTATCGTTCACGGCTCTAGAAAACTTGAGTTTTACACACTGATGTATCAAATATTACTTGCATGTACAAACAATCTTCAACTATTATAAGGGATTAATTAAACTATTACTATGTCTTTTAGTATTTATTTTTTTTAAAAAAACATTTCGCAATGTCGGAATACACCATTAAATAGTGTTCCGGCGTAAAATTCACAATGAGAACAATGTCGGTTTATTACTGGTTTTATACGTGTTGGATATATTTTTTATATTTACATAGAACAACAATATTTCACATGATTGGAAGTCACCATTAAATAGTGTTCTAGCTTAAAATAAACTTATAGATATATATACTTTTGAGAACATGATACATATTTGTAACATACCAAGTCAATTTTATATTTACTATCCTATATCTAGTTTATCTTAATGTAACATACTATAAATACGTCTTAAAATTAGACATTCAGTAGGTAAATACTTAACGTATTTTTGGATGATGTTTACATCTACTCTACCAGAATATTATGATGAGTTATACTAAATGGGAGAATATCAATATGACTTCACTGACTGGTGAAACAATAACTGCGAATGCAATTCTGGTTGCAATTTAAGTAACATACATTGCAAACTTCATACATAAAGTGTTTGTCAAGAATACTACACCTTATAATAAGTAGGTAGCATTAAAAAGTAATTACTTAGAATTAACGTCGATATTTGAAGAATGTTGAAAAATCATAACTATCACGAACTTTTTTCCAATTAGGTTGTTCATCGAGTTACGTTTTAGAAAACTAGAAACGTTTTTAAATATTTTGGTCAACTAAATTCTGATAAAGCTGTAAACATCATTCGGATATTTGAAAATAGTTTTTATGAATGGAGTTTTAAACAAGAGTCCTTATCTACCCGTGTATTATATGCACAATACTGACAATAATTTAGATAAACAAATGGAGTAGTCCAACGCATAAGTTGTATGTGGTTCTACTACATACTAAAGCTATCAAATCCAATCAATGAAACAATATCGCATTTTGACACTTTATAAAGCTAAGTAGGTACTATATTGACACAAAATCTTACACATATTCTTGCATGAGTTTCCTTACATGTTTAAAAAGACGAAGTTTCTTGTATGTAATCAGATTCAAATTTTTTTGTTTCGGTTTCAGTGAAAAATCAGGTTTTCTGACTTGTGGTATCTGGACTCAAATTAGGAAATTGTACTATGAGTACCATAGCAATAGAATTCACTAGGGCACTACCCAGAACGCTCAGACCACAGAACTAATTAAAATTCATTTTCCAAATTCGTGCAACCGGGAATCAAATCCGGGACCTCGTCGTCCAGTGCTCACAGTGTAAACAGTTGGGTCACCGAGGTTGTTAACAACTTAATAGTACATGTGAGTGTCTAGGTTTGTTTTTGTTATGAAACCTTACAATTCGCAGTATTAATATATGCTGCATAATGCTTATACGTTATTTTGGTCATTGTAGATATTTACTATTCACAATGTCTCGTTTAATCATGACTAGATAATGCCGATAGCAAACATGTCAAAATCACTTCCAAAATGTCTGCAATATTTCTGAATGCGTAAAAACTCTATTCCACTTTAATTAATCATTTTAGGTTGTGGTTGCAGGAAATCATGGTTAATTTGCGAGTGTGCCAATGTGCGAATACTGAATATTTTGTAAGTATAATCCTCGAGGTATCAAAAATAATTTCAGTAATTACATTTTATAAAAATAAGAAATCACCTTCAAAGGAAAGGTATTGGCTTCCCTCCTTCCAATTTACTTACTTTGTTCGAATTTTTAGCTCCGTCTAGACGTCTTTATTGTGTCTTTTTATGCGTAGCGATTTACTACGTGGTTCCGTAGTGAGGCGTAGCAACCCTGGTGTCCTTTCTGCACTGAACGAGTACCCACGCTCTCGCGCTGGCATTATGGGGTTGCTAAGGAGCATCAATGATGTATCCTGGGTTGAGCTTGCTGGTAAGTCGCCGTATACTGAAATATCGCATCCTCGTACAACGTCGCTCCTCAACTCCGATGCTTGTAAAGAAGTGACATCTTCAGAATCGGTGTCGTCTTCGTCCGTTTCATCCAAAACTCTGTAATCATTCACAATTTACTATGTTTTAAAAGAAAACAGTATTTGTATTCGCTTGGCAAAGTATCAAAACATCGCAATTGGCCACCATATTCGCATAAAGCAATGGAAATGTTATTTTCTTTTTATATTTTTTTAACGCACACGCTCATAGCCCCGCACTAGGGAAACCCTGTGTCGCGAGTGCCATGGACACACAATTAAAATATTTAGAATTCAAATATTTCACATTTTTTAGTTAGACGGAAGCATGAGTAACATGGTCAAGATTTGACATACTTCTTAGGCATTCTCACCTTGTTTCAATTTTATTCATTCTCTGCTTTAACTTTTCCTGTTCTTCACCAACACGTGAAATTAAACCTTCCAAGCGATTGTTGAGCATTTCTACAGTTGTTTCCAATTTAACTACGGTTTCTTCCAATGTCTGTTGGGTACTGTGTGCGTTTTGAAACACCGCCTCGTCTAATAAGCCGTCCTGCAATGAAAATTTAATTGCTTGTATTTTTAGAATATGTATAATCAATAGGTTCGTTAACCATTACCTCAATTTAAAAAAGGTTATTTAAATGAAACTAATTTCTCCGGATCTATGTCTATGTATTTATTTTTTTAAACACACCAACATTAAGCTGTGATCATGGGACCTGTAAAAAGCACAAAACGTTGGTTTGTTTGAAAAAATCATTGTTTCATATCCAGTGTGCAATCACAAAAATAAGAACTCGAAAGTTATTTAATTTCAGGTAAAATTAAACGATAAGGATCTTAAACAGTTAACGATTAATGTATAAGTATATTCGTAGTATTTTGTTTAACCAACGATCAGTGGATCAATTAATTAAATTATGTAAGTAAATGTAAACAATAATCGTACCTTACGTAGAAGCTGACATCCACGTTCTGTGAGCGTATTCCTTGCATCCGGATAGTCAGCGAGAGCTTCCCATAGGTCCCTCTTAGCCAAGCAGAAGAGATCAGAGTATCCTAGAGCACGGACGTTGGCCGTTCGTCGGTTGCCTGTGCGATTACCAGCGATTTCTAGAACACTTACTTCGCCAAAAACTGATCCTGCGCTGAGAGTAGCTAATACAGTTTTTCCGTCATCCGCAACTACTTGTAGCCTGCCTCGTTTAACTATGTACATTTCTTTTCCGACGTCTCCTTTTCTACATATGTAATCACCTGGACTGAATACTTGTAGTTTTAATTTCAATACTAAAGCTTCCAGGAGTCCTGGTTCGCAATCTTGAAATATCCTCACCTTTCTCAATGTATCCAGATGTACTCGAATGGCTATTTCCGCTTTTAATTTATCGGGTAGCGAAGAGAGAACATTTTCTTCATCGAGAGCTCCGCTCTGAGCCCAAGTGTAAGCAAACCATCTTATAACACGCGCCTCAAGTTCGCCGCTTACTTTTCTAAATGCCATGTACTGTTTAACTCCGTCCATTTTGTTTTGAAACTCTACTCTAGCCACATTCATGTTCGAAATCATTGATCCGATGTTTCCTACTATTGTGGCAAAAATTAAGACACCTGCCAGAAAATCTGCCACTACAAATAAATATTCGGCGTCGATTTCCGGTTGCGGTGTTTCACCAATAGTAGTAAGAGTCAAGGTAGACCAATAAAAGCTATAAATATATTGATGAGCAAGTGATTCATTTCGTGAGCCGGTTAAGTTGTACACCCAATTATCTGTCCCAAATCCTATAGCGTAACTTATAGCGAAGTACATACACGCATTCCAATGAATCAATACGAGGATCGCCATTACGACCTGAAAAATAATACCTTCTTTTAATGTCATCAGGTATTTAAATAAATTCGTTTATTATGAGTAACCGGTACATTAATTATAATTAATAATCGTTTGTCTAACCTTGCAAATCCTGAAGGCGTTCGGATAGCTAGTGGCAGTCTCAGTACGGTCGAACCACTCCCACATTCGAGGTAGGCGAAATAGTCGATTGAGTCGCAAAATAACAGGGCACGGCAAACGTTTCTGGAACACAACCAGTATTGACGATTCAGTAATCACCAAGATAAAGAATGAGTACGGTTTGAAAGCTTCATTGTAAGTTACTGAGAATAAGAACAGAAATGCTTTGGCACTAACGTAATCGCAAGATCCTGGTCTCCACCAGAAGTACGCGAAATCAGTGGGCAGCAGGGACACGAAATCATATTTCCAGGCGTCCGATTTGAGATAATATCGTCTGAGCATTTTTGGATCTTTAACCATGAGACCTTGTTCAAGGTATCCTGTAACAAAATTAATATTCTTGAAATCGCATTCTACATATTCACGCGAGAAAGTAAAAACCTTGTAGGCCATATTTCTTGAAATACATGGGCAAATATTTGTTGTTGTAAATTGCACTTTATGACATTCAAGCACCGTTTAAATTTGTGGATTTAAGGGTCTTGTTTGAATAACTTGTGTTGCTGAGCGTACCTGGTGTGATAAAACTTTCCATTCACTAGCGAATACAGAGGGGTATTCGCATTAGTACCTCTATTCTGTGTTTCTTTACTCCTACACACATTACAATGTAAGGGTAAAGAAATAATCAATCAATGACAAGTCGGCGACGGTCCTGTACTATGCGAGAGTTCGCAATGCAATATTTGTTCGGAAAGAGCGACAAGGCAGGGTCGAATGTTTGTACACACGTTAGCTAAATTTGATGACGCAAGGCGCGGTCCGGTGTGTGGGTGTCAAATTGTTGATTTGCGAACTCACTTCGAAAGCAATGCCCGTAACTTACTTTGTCATGAGTGGTATCGATTCAGGAGGCTGTTATGGAATAGCGCATAAAATGTCTTGCTAGCGCTAGTGAATAGTGGAGGACAAGGCCGAGCCGTCTGACATAAGTCAATAAAGGACGCTGTGTCTGTTTGACCTAACCGAAACAGGTGACTTGAACTCGGTCGAACTATAAAAAGTAGATCCAAGGGTCCTGGTCATAGAGGTGATTCACCTATTGGAACTGCTTGATGAATAGAATAAATACCCATGTAGCGTCAATAGGTATAGCTTAATAACTGTAACGGAAAATATGTAAACACTGAAAGGAAAATATTCTTTTGACACATGATACACCTAAGTAAGTGTCTGTCATCGTTCAGATTTGATCGAGCGTTCGCCCATTGTGTCGCGGTAACCTACCCGCGGACTTTAATATCCTACTTATTAGGAAGAATACATTCATGCTACCTATTCGTCTTAGGTAGCGATCAAGTCTTAGGTAACGATCAATGATAGATATAGGTTTGTACTGATCTGCGTTTTCGTGACTAAAAGATGGCCATTTTCTTTTAATTTTAAGTTTTATTTTTAAGGCGAGTCACTGAAAAAGAACCGGGAAAGTATTTTACTAGATCAAATGTTTTAGGCGTTTGCTACAACACAACAGTCATGTAAAAAATATACGATTAACCTAATGGTATTGTCTAAAGAATGTGCTAATTCGTTATACGATAGGATGTACTTTACCCGATCATATAAAATCTCAAAAACAGGCAGTCTAAAATTCATTATTTAAGAATAATATATCTAATTTTGCACATAATATTGTATATTTTATGGAGATAAAATTGTATTGAAAAGATGAAGATGAAGATGTATTTAAAAAAAAAATCTCTTTAAGTTCTACAGAGAACCGGCAAAATTTTGGTTTTCAACTGAAGCCTTATACCTATAAATTCACATTTATCACAAAATTTGAAAATTGCGCAGCAGTTTAGCGTCACGCCCCGCTACACAGTCAGTCACCATCGGGTGCTTGTCAACGTCGGATCTGTGTCAAATTTTCTCCACTTTTATATTGATTACCTCACAATCAGATACAAATGAAAATGCGAACTTCCTGCATAGTCAAGGATTCTCTGAAAGCAGGTGCTTTGATTTGCGATAGATAGTCACATTTGCATTAAAGGAAATCATTCGCTTGATATGCGGGTGAACGCAGTGAAAAGTAGTAGGTGTAATAGGTTACAATCGCAAAGCAAATACCTATCGCTTATCGCTTAATTTTTTAACTCATTTTATACATGAATAATTAATCATACAGCAAAAACATGAAATGAGTTCGTCCGGTCAGAATACTGAGCTACGTGGAGAATTGCATGCGTTTTAAAAGCTTATAAATTAGTGACCATTATTATATATTATCTATTCAGAATTTTCCATTATATTGTAATCACTCCTTTATGTAGGTAACTTACCTTCATGCATATGAATTATGGTATCAAAAACGTAGATTGCGTCGCACAGGTAGTCGAGTATAAACCAGACGAATGTCAGATTATCCAATTCCCAAAACACGGCTCTACCAATGACGAATACCACATTGTAGAGAATTGCCAACGAGACCATAGCCAGCCACTGCAACACGTGTAACACTTTACAATGTGAATTCTTCTTTTATGTGACACTCTTAACGGAGCGGTAGTGGTCATCATGAAGTATGTTTGTCTTATGTCTGATGTGGCTCGCTTGATGATATGTGATTTACGTATAATATCTTACAGCGTTACTGAGTTCAAAGCTACCATTAAATCATAAACACCGAATTAATTTCATTACATTCAACTAACTTCGATTTTTAGTGCCTCAGGCAAGGTCCTTATTATATAAGTTCAGTATAAAGTCTGCGAGATATGAAAACTTTGTTTAAAAGGGTCCTCTACAGGTTAAGATGCATAGTTCTACCAGGTCACGTGGCCGTGACATTCAAATAATACGTTTGATGTGCATACATAATTTATGATTTAAGGGCTTCTTCATATTTACTTGGGACATGGTTTTTTAATTTTGTAGAATATGTATCATTGTCTTAAACATTTCTTACTTCTCTTACTATTTTTATTTTTTATGATACATTTTTATGATGTAAGTAACAGGACGAACAAGTCATTATTTTTTATGATATGATGAAGGGAAGGGTGCCGATTAATTTATAGGCACATGGGACTCGACAACTATGTGTCATTCCCTCAGATCTTTACGATTTAAAGTTATGAGTGGCACTGCAAGTGCTATGGACAGGCGTGTCGCTTAACACCAGGCGCACAACTTGTTCGTCCTGTCAATTGCTGTCATAAAGAAAAAGATATAGAGAAATGAAGTTGATACGTACGTGATAATGGTAAGATTGAGTTGGATCAAAGGCTAATTTTAAACCACAAAATAATTTGGAACTTTGAGCTTGGTATAATGGCTCCTCGGGATCTGTGAAGGTCTGCGCTGAGAATTTGTTGAGGAATAAATCGGGTTGCTTGATAGCGTTGGGTTCCCCACTGATACGGCATCGTATATTTCGTGTCAAACGGTTGAATTGCCGCCTCACCCAATTGCTCCCTGGATCTGTTTCGCTGACACCCTACAAAAATATACATAAACGTTATTATTGATTATTTTAAATTGGTCAGTATAGTATATTACTTTCAACTATAAAACAACTGTAACTAACTGTATTCAAATTGACTTTGCGCTTTTGTAGACTTAATATGCTTTCTACAAATAACCATTTAATATTTTCCACTATCTGTCAAGCGTGGTTCTTACCCTTGAACAAACAAACATCAACTTAATATATTGCGTAACAAGCAAAATACCGCTTCATGGTCACGTAATTTATCCCATGATTATTTAAGGTTACAATAATGTGAAGTTCTTGGTAATTTTATATTAATTAAAGAAGGATAATGCCAAGTGAAGGACATTCCTGTATATAAGGTATCATAGGTTGCGATATTTAATTAGTAGGGCGCCTTCACATTAGATGATCATAGAAGCGCTACAGTGGCGCCACTGTGGCGCTGCAGCTGCGCCATTACTAATTTTCATACAATATTTAGAAGCACAGCTCCAGCGTCACATTCATGTCACGCGCGCGCCACTTTTGGAGACTAGATTGATATCCGTGAACTCTACGCCAACTTAGTTTTTTGGTCATTTTCTGTTTTTAATGTAAACAGTCTTATTATATTTACTAATATGGTGCTCCCCTAAATTTGTAAAAAAAAGAAACTTAAAAACAAAATTAGAAAAAAAAACAAAAAAGAAACAATTTTGTTAAAAAAAGAAACAAAATAAAAAGAGAGTATACATGCTCTGTATCATAAGTAACAAAGTAGAAAAATTCGTTTGATTCTACCAGAAATTTTTCCATGGGAGCTCCCCGTATAGCGCCTACAGCGCTAACAATTGGATCATCGAGCTCGTAATATTGGTAGTTAAACTATGTCATTAAAATTAAGGCCTAAATAACATGTTTGGGTGTATTGTATGCTGAAAAACAAAAATAATCATGACACATAAGCATGTGGTTTCATGCCGTTTCCATTATTAGTATTAATGTAAATGTTCTTTTACGATTCTTGAATATTTAATTTAAAGTATTTAAAGATACATTCATTAAAAAAACTATAATTATACATATATTATACGAATTATTGTATTGTGCCTAATGGCACAGACAATTTTAGAGCCAATTACTTACCTCGTTGTAATCAATTTGAAGGTCGATAATTGCAATGAATCTGTGCTAGTTTTTCGAGAAATTTAAGAAAACATTTTAATTGTTAAACACACCAGCTATTAACAATTCTAATATTGGTAATTAAAACATCTTCAATGTTATGTTTTTAAACCTTCTATCTAACTATCACTGGCCACTTCAATATTAAAATGAAAAATGTTGACAGTTGACGATACCGGTAAAATACATAAGGTTATTTTAATTTTTTATTGAATTGATATTCAATTATTTTTTGTGAAATTACTCCACTAGTTTGTTATAATTATTAATACAAAAATCGAACACTCAGAAAAAAATTCCTTCGATCCGGCCGGATTCGTACCGAAGTCTCTAGCTTACCGTGGCAGACGCTATATCAACTAAGCATACATAAGGTTAAGCATACTTAATACATAAGGTTATGTTTGGACAAAAATAGAATTCTTTTTTCAAGACTTTTCGATTTGTATTTTATATTGATCTTTCTCTATATTGATCAGAAGTGAGGTTTCTAAAATTATGCGTACTCAATTTGTTGACAACTTATGTGTAGAGTCTCCTACAACGCGGTTTTCATATAAGGCAGAGCGAAAATTGCGTACAGCCCTCCTACAGCGCGGCATCCATATAACGCGGTTTCTATTATAACGCAGTAAGAATAATCTGATTTCTATTAATTCCGAGTCTCATAAAGGGCGGTTTCCATAAAGCGCAGCAACGGTTTCCTATAACGCGACACGAATTAATCACGTTCTAGGAGGGTTGACTGTACTCGTCTATCGAAAGACTGAACTGCTGGCAAAATAATATATTTCTAGGCTCATACACAACCAGTTACGGCAGTTTTTTTATTATTATGTCTTAACTGCTTGGTTGGTTAGTTCATTGACGTATATTGGCAAATAATTAACGAAAAACAGCGCCCAATTGCTTAGTTTTCAGCAATTAGTTCAATCGTGATATTGAAATGATTGTAGATTGTTATGGCGATTGTACGCGTGTCTGCCCTTAAAGCTATTTTGTGTTGCCGTGACACGATTTGAATCTTCAGTTATAAAAATTGAAATTTGGAAAATACAATCCAATTTGATCCAAAATCTTAATTGTCATATGACAGATTTTCTTAAGCGACGGATATTAAAGGTAAGTGCGTGGTCGAAGAATAGGTACGTAAGTAATTAATGGGACATTATGATGCCCATTTGTCATAGAACGTGGGCTTTATGACTCACGGCGTATCGACTCGCCTCGAGAGGTATAATATAGATACATAGAGCTACATACTATAGGTATTGTTATGTACATTGCTGAAGATGGTATGATTTAAGGGGTTGGTTTTGGTAGATGCATATTAAAGTTGCACGGACATCCACTAATATACACAAATTACTTCGAAAATGCTAACATTTTTAAACAAATTACTCGCAGGGCTATGTTACTAACATCATAAACAACCACTTTTGTTTTTTGCTTTTACTAATTCATTGGATTTTACTTTCATACTAAAATGAATTAATTACATTTAGATAGATCTTTTTTTTTATAATATCTAGTGACGAGACAAATATGTCGTGCGCCTGATGGTAAGCTTCACGCCTGTCCAAAACAGTTGCAGTGCCACTCAGAGCTTTAAATTGCAAACATCTGAGGGGCACTGCCAGTGCGCCCGTCACTCGGAAACATAAGTTGACAAGTCCTATGTGCCTGTAATTTCACCAGCACCCTTACCCTTCAAAACCGGAACACAGTAATGCTGACATTACTGCTTGATGGCAGAAATAGGTAAGATTACTGGAGGCAGTACTTCTCTGGACGAACTCTTTCACAAGGAGCTCTACTGCTACTAAATCAGTTTTTTCGCTTTTGATCGCTAAACTGTTATAAGTCTGTGCAGCACGGGGGTGGGAGACTTTCCTGAGGATGCTTGCATGTTTGAAATTATTCCACCAAATTCAGATGTAAAAGGTGTCAGACAGTACAACAAAAACTTAACAAGTTTATTTATGATAAATTTATTAAATATTGTAAAAAGTCATGGTTTTTGATGTTAGTAATATAGGCCTGTGAGGTTGTTAGTATTTTAAAAGTAACCCTGTATACAATGCCATAGCTACAGCGCATTGTTAACATGTAAAATTGTTAATCATACATCAAAAGTATTTTTAGCATTTGAAAATTACAAAAATAATACGAAATACATGAGTCAAAATTGTTAACTCTCCTATTTAAACATAAAAAAGTATCGACTAATTTCATTCGTAGAATCTTTAAATCTCTCTACTGAAAAATAATCATTTTTAAGATGTGTCCTTCTTACATCAAGGGTATAAATGATAATAGCGCACACCTTCTTAGCACCACACGCCATCCGCGGATGCCATGGATACACCTATACAACCATAAATTAGTAACAATAACGCATGCACTCATCCAACCACAAATTTGTGATAATAACGCACACACTCATAGCCCCACACGCCATCCGCGGATGCCATTGACACACACCTATACAAACACAAATTAGTGATAATAATAATAATAATAACGCTCACAATAATAATAACGCTCACAATCAACATAGCCCCGCACTAGGGAAACCCTGTGTCGCGGGTGCCATGGACACACACATAGACAACCACAAATTACACCCAAACTCACGAGAGAAATAAATGTAGGCCATACAAGTATTTCTCCCAGCCCGGGAATCGAACCTGGGACCTCTGCGTGGCAGTCCTGCATGGTAACCGTTCGGCCACGGAGGCAGTTCATAAAAATAATAACGCATGCACTCATACAATCACAAATTATTGATAATAATGCACACGCTCATAGCCCCACACGCAATCCGCGGATGTCATGGATACCCTCCTATACGACCACAAATTAGTGATAATAACGCATGCACTCATCCAACTACAAATTAGTGATAATAACGCATACACTCACAGCCCCACACGCCATCTGCGGATGCCATGGACACACACTATATAACCACAAATTAGTGATAATAACGCATGCGCTTATCCAACCACGAATTAGTGAAAATAACGCATATATTCATAGCCCCACACGCCATCCGCGGATGCCATGGACACACACGTATACAACCACAAATTAGTGATAATAACGCATGCACTCATCCAACCACAAATTAGTGATAATAACGTACACATTCATGGCCCCGCACTAGGGAAACCCTGTATAGCGGATGCCATGGACACACACATGGACAATCAAAAATTAGTGATAAAAACGCACACACTCGTAGCCCCTCACTAGGGAAACTCTGTACCGCGGATGCCATGGATACACACACAGACAATCACAAATTATTATATTATAATAATTATTAATTATATTATTACGCCCAAACTTACAAGAGAAATAAATATAGACCACACTAAAATTTCTCCTGCCTCGGGAATCGAATTCGGGATCTCTGCGTAACAGTCCTGCATGGTGACTATTAGGCCATGGAGGCAGTTAAATTTATATTGCATTTCTTATAATATAGTGATAATTTATGAATGAATCGTTTTAAATTAGTAAAGTAATTAATGACTACTTTAAATATCAATTTAAGGTTATTAATATGTCGCAGTTTTTAAAACCCGACGCAAAAAAGGCGAGATATAAGTTTAAAGCTTTTGTCTGTGCATTTCGATTTTTTAAATTTATTTTTTATTTATTCGCACGTCTATCTGTGCTATCGTAGCTCCCAAACGGAAGTACTGATCTCTAAGTATTTTTATTCGAAGGCTGGTTTAATCGAGATAGTTCTTAGCTATGCTTTTTACATCTGCTCAGTTGCTTAAAGATCATTAGCTCTATTAGTGTATGGATCTCAGCCATAATATTGA